TTACAAAACTCAGTGGGCAGCAAATCTTTAGCTCATCATGTCCGGGAACAGCGATTTAGATCAGTGACACTGCACCTGCTTCAAGACGTCCAGGAACTCTCTTCTATTTTTAAACAGCACAAAATCCCAAAAGCTAAGGAAAATGATAGCAAAAACACCTTTGATTATACTCTTCTTAAAATCAAACTATAATTTTCTTTAATACTTGTGAGAGAAGTTGTTGAATTTCTTGGCAATGCCCTTATTTGGTCATGCTGTACAAACATCTATTAGGGGAGGTTTGAGCTCTAAATTAATTAGATAAGTTCTGGTTTATCAGTCATTGTCATTCTCCAACAACTTATTTTTATATGACTGGCCCACAGTGTGATTCAGCTGGGAAAAATGGGTTTTAATTATTTCACTTCCAAAAAAAATTTATTCACTTCCCCTATAATCAGCAATGATTGATGGGACTCAGGAGTATGGCTTCTATGGTAGCAGAGTAATTCCATTCATAGCTGCCACTACATTATCAGACTCCTAACAAATGGCTCTATCTCCTACTATGACAAGAAATTAATAAATTCAATAACCAATGGATTCAGCAATAGTTAATGCTTAATGATAGCCACCTACTCTCTCTTCACACAGATTGGGGATTGACATGAACCCCAGAGAAGAAGAATTAAATCCAAGGATATTAATTATCATTCAGTATTTTTGTAACTACAGGCAGAAGTTCTTTTTCTGTGTGTGGCTCATCTGGAGCCCGAACTGCAACCTAACACAAGAAAGAGCATCAAATCTAGAGTTCTTTGATAGAAGAGATGTTCTAGCTCTTATTAGAAATGCCGACCCTGATGAGTGTGGAGAGAGGAACCCTTGACACTGGTATGAAAGCACGTTCTGAGGTTACTGGGAACTCACATGGAGATTTTCCTCAGATCTTAATACCCAGTGGAGCTGTGTTTGACATGTTCTGCCCACCTGCAAATCTTGCACATTGACAGTGTTTCTTCTTTTGTTTGGGAAGCAGGACACTCACAAAAAAACCATGTGTTGGCTATGTTGTTCATGGGTCCTTTAATATAGAGATCTGTGTCTTAATTTTCCTCTTTGCCTTAGCCTTCTGTGTTTCCTATATTTTCCCTTATCTTGAATTTTGTATTTTATTAGGCAGATATATAAGGAAACTGTAAATATTTGTGGTAGACACTGGGAGATAGACGCATGGATGCGTGGACAGACGAATGGATAGAAATCTGATTGGTTTGTTCCACCCACACTAGATGAAGATTTAACAAAGACTGACTAGGTCACACTGCGATTTTCTGCCTCACTTCCACACAATAACCCACCCTGCTCTAACCGCAAACACAGGGATTTTGGAAGCAACAGCCTTGGTCCCATATGCTGAAAGCAGATGGCAGCTGCACTGACTTCACAGTAGCAGCTGCCCAGGAACCAAAGTGAAGATAGGAAGCAGGGGAAAGGAGCACGAGGGGAGAGAAACACAAAAGAACAACCAGGAGAGAGGAAGAGAATGAGTTCTTGCTGCCAGTCTCAGCCGGGGTCACAAGCGCGCAAGTGAGTGCGCGCGCGCGCACACACACACACACACACACACACACACACACACACGCACACCCCAAGTGCTTTGATTAGTAATATTCTCACACTTCTGGCATGATCTCCACTGTATGACGGAGGAGAGACACACCACGCTCAGAGTCCACCAGCCAGGCCAACGCTTATTCCAGCACCAATAGCTGCATTCCAGAAAGGGGAAACTCTAAACCTACCACAGAAACAATTTTAAAGGCCAATATTTTACATAAACATGGTATTCCTGTGGCTTTAACTGAGTTAAATTAGCCATTGTGTAACTGATGGGCATCTGGTTCATAAGGAAAGTGAATTTTTAATACATTTCTGGCAAAACTTTCCAAGCCTAGAATATGAGATACCTAGCTTTCAATGAGTGATCTCAAAAGAAGGAGTTATCTACTATCGGAGAGCCATGCACTACTATGCATTTGTTGCACTTGGGATCACAGTGCTTCTGTCTTTCTGATCCCTCTGGTTGGATCTGAAGCTGTTATTAGTTAGGTCACATAGATACAGTGCATCTTAATTTTGTCTTTGCTTCTTTTCTCCTAAGCCATCCTGTATTTGTACTCAGACAGCCCTATTGTGAAGTAGATCATATCCACTAGCACTGGTCTTTAAAGTTGTTTCTGTGCTGACTACAGACAGGCACACACACACACTCACACACACAACTCATCCCACAAGGTACAGTGTGGAAGTACCTATGCAGAGGTTGAGAGCTCCTGCTGAAGCCAGTCTACCTGGCATCCAGTCCTGGCTCTACCTTTTGCTAGTTATTCCATATAGTATATAAGTATTAAGTGTTAGCTTAAATTAGAAATTCTTTATTTTTCTAAAGGAAAGTGAAAAGATACAGGTGTGAATTTTTCCCAAGCAACCACTGCGGATTTTTCTTTCCGATGTCCCAAGGGTAGGTAGGACGGCCATTTCTGAATTTTTTTTTTTCTTTGAAGGTTTAGCATCAAAATTCATACCAGCACTATGGAAGGAAGCCAGGAAAGCCAGATTTTCTTGGAAGGCTTCATGCCTCAGAACAACGTGAGCCAAGGGGGCCAGAGTGCTGGCTGTGAGTCAGCTCCTTATTAAAGTGTTTACTGAGGACCTGCTGCGTGCTAGGCACAGGAGTGGAGGCCACGGAGGGGGCTGCAAATGAGAGAGAAATGAAGCTGCCTTTCAAAATCAATATGTAATGAGAGAGAGGTGAGAAATGAAGGAGACAGCAGATGACAGAGAGAGAGAGAGAGAGAGAGTCAGACACACACACACAGAAATACACACAAGAACTCTTACAAATCCACACACTGTTGCACAAAACATTGTGTAAAAGAACGTGTATGCAAAGATCTGAAGAGATTAAGGGTACTGAGTATTCCACCAGAGGAAGTAAGCCCCAAGCCAAGCTCAGAAGGAGACCTTCACACAGGCAGGGAGGAAAGAGCAGGAGACCCACCTGAAGCAAAACCTCCAGCAGGGTAAACAGGATGCGGCCTGCTTTTCCAACGTGAAGGGGCTGGATTCTGGAATAACGGAAGTGAAGTTTAATAGGAAGTCCCCTTGGTGATGTGAGCTTAAACACGAGACTGCCTTCATCATCTCATCCAACTGCTACTTGTATGTGGAGTGGGGCATTGAAAAGGGTTAAGTGAAATAAAGCAAACACACAAGCTTAACGGTCACATGGCTTCTCTTACACGAAAACCACAAAATAATTAATAAACAGCAAAATAAAAGACAGATAACAGGAAGCGGGGAGATAGATATCTTTCAAATGGGAAGGGGATCAAGAGATAGATGGTGGGGAGAGGGAAAGAGGATGAAAAGAGGAATTAAGATGTACTATGTCCATGTGAAAACTCAACTACGAATGTAAACATTATGTCCTGCAAACATGGACTAATAAAAAATTACAAATTAAAAAAAGAAGGGTTTGATGGTAATTTTATATTTCTTTTGCACTGAGCTTAGTTCCACAATGAATAAGCCAAAAATTTATTTAGTAATTCAGAGAGTTAGTACAGATAAAGCCTTCAGAGGAACAGCTAGCACAAAAGAACCTCCATTAAAGTATTGCTAGCCTGTGACTCCTCCTCTTCCCTTGTGTTCTCTTTTTTTTGTCTTCATGAGTCAAGCAGGGCGTTTTTGTTTGTTTTGCTGCTATAACAAAATATCACAGGCTGAGTAGGTACAAGGAAAAATGTTTATTTAGCCCACAAGGATAGAGGCTGAAAACCCAAGAATGGGCAGCCCCGTTAGCTCAGGCTCTGGTGAGCTCTCCTGGTGGGTGGACAGCACCCTGGTGGGAAACTGGACAAAAGGGACCCCATGGTGAGGCTGGAAGCCAGATGGTGGGGAGGGGCCGTATTCTTCTCTAAAACTCACTCCCATGGGAACTATCTGGGGTCCTACAAGAACAACTATTAAAGTATTGAATCACTTCCTAAAAAACACTTCAATTACCTAAGTAACCTTGCATTAAGCCCCACCCTTTAAAAATTCTACCACCTCCAAACCACACAATCAGCACCAAGTTTCTAAAACATCAATGTATGGAAGTCACTGAAACCATACCAGGCAGTATCAGAGTAAGCATAGGCTCAAATGAGTCCTGTCCATTGGACCAGGTCAGGCGAGAATTGCCATACAGGCTGTGCACAATTTAACTCCAGTTTACAGCACTCATACAGGCTGCGGAGAGAATACCGTTCCTTGGAATTGTGCTACACAGCAGTCTCACACAGGCAAGCTTATCACGTCACATCCAACTTGGAAGTTCCTTTCATACTTCAAAATTCTACAAAAACCTCAAAAACCTTCCCTGCAGTCACAGCAGAAGGTAGATCAAAGAGTGGACAGAGCAGAAAGAAATTGTACCCCTGCAAAAATGAGAGAAGTAATTCCCAAGGTAACTGGCAGCTGCAGCAGGCATTTTAAAAGTGTATTAGAATACAAGGACTCTGCTAAAGAGTTTGCAAAAAAGGAAGAATGGAGAGATCACTACTTTCAAAGCTTGAACTCAAGTAACTGCAGTTAAAGACAGAGACAGCTCTGCGATTGTGATAAAACACCAGATTCAAGAACATGGGAGGCTATCTCGGCACACACAAGCACAGGACAGGAGCCTCCCAGGACACTGAAGGATTCACAGGTGATGTAGATGTAGGAAGACTTCAGGACACAAATTGAAAAGAATCTGAATGTTGCTAAGGATTTGTTAGTTCTTTCTGGAGATGAGGTCAGCTCGTCACATGTGAACACCACCTTTATTATGGCCTCAGAAGTATGTCCTGTGATTTACACATTAAGTGAAAGAAAACAATTTAGAACACTGTCTGCTGCGAAAACCATATGGAGAGCCCAGTGCTTTATGACATCACGTTGACATCATTTACTTCTAAGGACTTCAACATTCTGTATGTAAAGACAGCAATAGAGAATAGGTGGTCCCCAGCTGATGAACCCAGTTAGGATCCTGGTTAGTCAGACTGGAGGAACAAGCAATCTTACAAAGAAAGGTAAGAGTAAGATTTAAGTGGAAAGTAAAATAATGCAAACTCATAAAAATGGGAATCATACTTCTCACCTTGTTTGTAAATGACTTCAATTATGTACTTTGTTCGAATGGTTTTCATTTAATAGAAATTCCCCAATGCTATCAACCAGGATGCTGTGCGAAGGCTGCAGAGTGGAAGCTCTTCTCCTGGGGCTCCTGAGGGGCTGTGAGCCAGAGGCAAGAGTTGGGATGGGGGCGCGGTGCGGATGGATCTCAAGGGCCGTCGCGCAGTAGCAGATTCCGGAAGGAGCCGCAGCGGCCGGATAGCTTCCCCGCTGCAGCCCCAGTTGGAGTTGGGTTGGCTCTCTCTTGGTGGACAGAGTCTCTAAGCTTCCCCAACTCCCCAATCTAGCCCTGCAACAGTGCGGTGACAAGTTGTCACTGCTCTACTTCTCTTTCAGTCAAGATCATTCTACTGCGTGTGACAATTTCTGAGGCACACATCCACCTCCCTCCAGGAGAATGCAGCTAAGTCTGGCTCGTTCTTGGATCTCCTATAGTACCTAGTCTAGCGCGCCATTCATAGTGGACAGTGGCCCCTCACAGTGTACATCTCATTTATCAACCAACAGCCCTCTGTGTCACATGTTAACACGATCCCCATTCTGCACATAAGGAAATTGAAGCTCACAGAGATGAAGGACTCATGTTCATTTATGCAGCTAACTGGTGACAGTACCAGGATTTGCATTCCCCAAAAGCCATGCTTTTCAAAAACTATCGCATTACCTGGATTTGGGACCAACGATGTCAAACTATGGGTCATTGGCCAAATCTAGCCCTTGCTCACGGACAACAGAGCCTAAAGTCTATACAGCCTTTTACTTCCAAAGTATGTTCCCCCTGCTTCAGATTCAGACACACTAAGAAACAGGCAGATTGGCACACCATGCCAGAGGAATCGCAGGGTGATGAACGGCACGGCAGCCATGAGCACATCCACCCGGAAGGATGAGCAGAGGCTGGAGTCTGGCCACACCTGGAACCAGTGAGGCAGGCAGCATCAGGCACTTGGCTCAGGCTGCTTGTGGGCAGCAAAGGGAGAGTGAATGGTAGCTCTGAAGGTCAATGAGGGTGCTCAACAAACCACAGACCGATATGGCCAACTTGCAAGCAGTATGGATCTCGCAGTTGACTGGGCTTTTGAAGATCACAGTTAGCCTTGAGTCAGCAGCCTCCATGTACTGAGCTCTCGGTAGAGCAGCGGATAAGTTGCAGAACTGACAGACTGAACTATCACCACCCTTTGCTAGAGATGCTAACTGAATGAGGCCATAGCCAGGAGACAAACAGCAAGAAGGGGAGAGAGGGGCACGCCAGGGGCCTGCACCATCCAGTAGCTACAGGACGGGAAGGGCCTGGGTCAACCTCCTCTCTGTCCAGCCAAGAGAATTCTGCAGAAGTGGCCAGAAGAAACCTGAAGGTGAGAAGCCAGCCTTGGGGCTGGGGAGATAAGAAGAGGCCAGAAGACAATCACACATTTGTCTCTGTGTCTCCTGAGTCACCTGCGTGATAAATGAGGCCAAGGACACTTGGCTCACCAGATACCCCACACAGCATGTCACTAATGAGGACCTGGAATTTTATAGCCTCTGTTTATTATGACAGTTGCCTCCTAAATGTAAGCAACAGAAAGGAGGAAGTAGCAGAAACCATATCCCTAGAGAATAAAAGTGAGACAACAATAAAGCAAAGGCTTTGGAGCCAGAATCCCAGAACTGAGGTTTTGCCTCCAGCATCTCTGTCCACTGAGCAATTACATTTGGTCACTTCATTCTTCACATTCTTGGTGAATCCTTCTGTAAAATGAGTAAATGGAGGTAATTTGGGAGTTACATATTCTGTATTAGTTGGGATTAAGTGTCTGCATATAACAAAAAGGAAAGAGCCCTGGCTTAAACAAATTAATAATTTACTTTTCTCTCACTTAAGTCTAGAATTGGAAGTTCAGAGCTACTGGAGCAGTTCTACAGTCATCCAGACACAGGTATTGTGGTTCCTTTTTCCTTCGATGGGCTTAGACCATACATTCCATAATTGGGGGCCTTGTAGTTACAAAGTGACTGCTGCAGCTATAGCAATCACGTCTACATTCCAGGCTGTAAGAGGCTGGCTGGGGCAATGGATAAATGACATTGCCTCTCCAAGTTAACCCTGTCAAGGAGATTTCCGAGAAAGCTTACCCAACAACTTCAGTTACCATCTTTATTTGAAAGGCTGGTGGGGAGGTAGAGGTTTTAGCTATGCTAGTAATAGAACACTTCCGATAGAGTGGAAGGAGAGAGTACAGTAGCAAGATAAACAGCAGCCTTGGCTACAAATACCTAAAGCAAAGGCTGATCCTGTCCCCAAATGACCTGATGTGTGTGAAGGGCACCGCAGAGTTGCAGAGAGTCTGCTCAAAACTAGGCCTTTTGCGTCTGTACTCCACACCGTCTTTGCCCAGCCCAGATCTCCCAGAAGCCACCTCTCCCAGCTCCAGGTCCAATGGTTTTCCTTTGCTGGGCTCCCATGGTGTCCTGGGATCACTCAATCCACTGCTCTCCCTAGAACCTTAAAATAACCAGCCTACGCCTCAAACTTTCCCTTTGGATTTATGCTGAGCAAAACAACAGCAACCACTCGTGCACAGTAATGGAGCTCTTCAGGTAGGGCTAATCCAAATGGATAAGTCCTGTTAGGTGCAAAAGAAAAGAACTAGACTTCCAAACCATAGCATTAAAGGAAAAACATGTAAAATATCACATTAATGATTTTCTATACTGGCTTCATGTTTGAATAAATTTCAGATTTACTGGGTCAAATGAAACATATCGTTATAGTCTGCTTTACCATTTCTTTGGATGGTTATAAATGCACACATGTAGTGTGTACATGTGTGGCCCATGCTTGTGACTCCCACTGCGTTTCTAAGTTGCTGCAGCTCCTCGAGGACAGGCCCTACGTCTTACAGACTTTGTCTCTCTAGTATCTGGGCGCTGTCCATTTGTCAGAAGTTGGCTGGACAAAAGCGTATGTAGAAGGAAAGCCTTGATAGCAATACAGCAATGGCAAGCAAAAGGAAGGATGACAACAGTAAGAGCGATGCCCTGCCGACACTCAAACGGGCCGACCCCGGGGTTGTAGAAAGCCTGTGCACGTGCCCTGCAGATAGTGGCTGGAGCACCTACCCTCGAATTTTATACACCGCAGTCCATTCCGCATGCTGCTATTAGCTAACAAATGATCTCTTCAAGGGTGATCCACATAGGGCCTCGGTTTCTTCATCTGCGAACCAGGGATGATTCTAGCACTGACCTCCTCACTTTTGGAGAAGACATAATGGAGACTGTGTTGCTAAGATGCTTGGCACAGTCCCTGCGCCACAATGACTGGTTAATAACTTTTAGCTCTTTTTGTTAGCTTTGATAGGCCTGTTGTGAAGGAGAAGACACTTTTAAAAAGTTGCCCGAAGCCAATCAACATTAAGGCATTTCCCTGCTGAATATTAAAACAATTTTTAAGCTGTGATGACAAAAATAATTTGAGCTGGCAGATGGTATAGTGTTGTCACCCACTTTGTTGCTTGGAATCGAATTAATTATATTTACATAAATACCACCAAACCCTTTCCTTGTCTGTAAAATGTCTCTCCAATGTCTCAAGTAATCAGAGCTGGGCTTTTGGAAGGTGGATCATAGGGACACTACACTCATCAGAAATGGAAAAATGTATAAAGGAAAGGGGAAAAGGGAACAAGTAAATGTTGAAATTAGAACATGAAAGTGGGAGGATCCTCTGTCTGAAGAGCCCTCACTAGGTAATGTGGATCAGCAATGAGAGGAGTTGATTTTGCACCTGGAAAGTACAACTTCCCAACATCTCGCTGCTTTGCGTGAGCAGAAGGTTCTGAAGTCAAAAGCCAAGAGAAAAGAACGCAGTTCTCTTCCTTGATTTCATCTCTCAGGAATCTTCCCCTCGTTTGTCTCCTAGTTTCCTCCAACTGTCTTCCCTGGGTTTTGCCCTTCCAAACATCAAAATTGGTCCAGGAACGGCCCAAGTTCACTGTTAGAAAGCGGAAGTGTTTTCTCTTAGCCAAAGGGAAGACAAAGCTGATCTTACTGTCAGCCTCTGGTATTTCCTGGATTTGTAGAACTGTTCTGTTACGGTGACAAAATACCTGAGAAAGACAATTTAGAGGAGGAAAGATTTATTTTGGCTCATAGTTTCAGAGGTTTCAGTCCATACATGTTGGCTCCACTGTTTCCGGGTCTGTGGTGATACAGAAGTAACAGTGGGGAGGGCATGGCAGAACAAAACTTAATGACAGCCGAGAAGCAGAGAGAGAGAGAGAGAGCAAGAGCCAGACAGCAAAGTGTCGGGGACAAAATAGCCTCTTCACAGCCACTCCCCGTGACCTGCTTCATGCAGTTAGATCACCTCCTAATAATTTCACTGAGTTCTGAGCTCAGTTTCGACCGGACTGATACACGGGATGAAGTTCGCGTCCACATGATCCAGTCATCTCCCCACAGCCCACCAGCAACCATGTATTCCATAAAATGAAATTTTGGGGGAAATCTTGGTTCCCAAACATAAAATGTCCTAGACCAAAATCATTTAATGAAATGCCCAGGAGAGCTTAAATCTAGGTTTCCTCATAGAACACAAACCTTTCTTAATTTAAACACACGAGACTTCATGTGTGATTATATAGGATGTGTGTTTCCCAACCCTGGGATCACATTATTGATCAGAAACATTATAACTTAATATTTCTTTAACAAATGGCAGCAAATTATCTTTTTCTAACAAAATCAGCATATTCTAATAATTTTATGACAAGGGAGAGAGAAGCTCTTCAGTGGGTTTTATTTTGTTTCAATTTGGACAAAGTTACATGAGGGTCACAGTAGCCCCAAAGTCATCCCGTTGAGCACACACCTTAGTCCTTGCCTATTCTTCAGTGGTCTACCCTACAAGGGAGTGGTACACGCAGACCCTCACTGTCAGACAGGCCCTATAAATAGGTAAAGAGAGTCAGGCATGTGCATCTTTAGAAAGTAGTAGGGCCTAAACTATCCCAGAGCAGAGAGCACAGACCTACTTTATAAGACATCAAGTTCAATTTAAAAACAAAGTTACCCTAAAGGCAAAATGTAATTCATCCTCTGATAATGCATCCCTCTGGTCATAAATCTATAAATCCCAGTTCTTGATTAAATAGATAATGGTTACAAAAGGACAGGTGAGCTTATGTGCTATGCTTTAACTTTCTATTTCCAGCAGTCAGGAACCACAGAAATCTTGCCAAGTGTCCAAGCTCATGCTTTCCAACTGGGACAATTCTTCTTTCCAGGGACGTTTGGCAGTATCTGAAGTCACAACTGGGTGGGCATGAGTACCCCTGGCATCCTGTGACTAGAGGTCATGGACAATATTCAACATACTGCAAGGCACAGGACAGCTCCTCTGTGACAAAGTGTTATCCAAACTCTAATGCCAATCATGCCTAGGTTGAAAATCCCTGGTCTACATAGTTGTACAGATTAAAAGATGGAGAAAAATTGAGACTTTTAGCTTCAGGTAAGCAGAATCCTTAAATGCATTCACATCTCTAGGTAAGGGTGGTAGAAATGAGAGAAGTTAACCAATTTCTGGAGCTGATACATCGAGAGAGGGTTAATCAAGTTGTAAGCGAAAGAGCTGCAGGCATCCGCAGGCAAATGGTCATCACAGCTCAACACTCTAGGGACCCCCAGAAGCAGTACTCTGTCCCCTATCCTGTCTTGTCCACAAACTTGTGTAACATACAATCTACAGGAAATTTTTACTGCATCCGTGAGTTGTGGGGCAAATTGTTAGCACATGAACCATTAGAGAAAGTATTTTAGCACCTTAAATGCTTTCCTCACTGAAACTGCTATCCAAGGTATTATTTCTGCTGATAAATAAAGAAATTATATCCAATAATATTACCCTATAATATTAATCCTATAATATTAAAAATAGGTTGTATACTTAGACTCAGGAATACTGTGATATCTGCAGACTGGCCTGGACATATACTTCTTGCAAACTCCTTCAGTGACTTCATTTCAAACTATAAGAAGCATATTTTACCTCCATTCTTATACAAGATTGGCATTGACTACACATCCCAGTTGGTCTGGAGGTCCTATAAATGGACATGTTGTCTCAAAAATAAATTCAGTGTACAGAGTTTTCTTCCCTGAAGCAGGTTTATTATAGCACCCTGCCTCCTCCTATGTGATCAATGGGTCCAAAAGAATATGACAAAGCCTCCCAAGGTGCCATGAGCCAACTTGGGTTTGGGGGCATCAATACCTTTACCTGGGAACCCCAGAGAGATTCTCCCACAAAGTGAAAGTGATAGAGCTAGGGGACTGACTTGTCTGGTAACAAAATGCTCAAAAACTAGAAAAGGAATACAAAGAAACAGAATTCCTCCAGGTCCCAGGACAGCACTCAAAAGCCTAGGGGTATTAAAAGCTAAATAAATATTTTTCAAACTAAATGATGCCTGGTCTAAGGTGTCCCATGCGGAAGCATTTTAATTTAGCTAAAAGTTCTTCTCAGGAGTACACAAAGATAGCATAACCATTTTAAACTGCGGTATGGTGTTCCAAATAAACCATAGCTTAAAAATGAAAATGTTTGTTGTTTTCAGTATTTTTCTATCATAATTTTTTCATGCTGATATTTTAAAAATTCATTTAATTTTGCTCATTTACAGGCATTTTTCTACAGTGAAATTCCTAAATGTGAGTCAAAAGATACATACATTCACACAGTACCTTGGAAGGTGTTGCCGCAGTGCCCTCTACAGATGTAGCGACAGTTCCTTGCCACAAGGATGTCCAGCAATGCCTCTTTCCTGCACCATCACCAACACGTTACATCGCCAGCTTTCTTATAACTACATAAATTTAAATGGTTTTTCTATTCAAACATTTTCTTTTGTGTTAACTTATTATAGTATGTAAGTTCCTTTGATATTCCTAAGAGAGCTAGGGTATTTGGAGGTACTTTAAAGAAGTTGAAAGAATGCAAACGGGCCCAAGTTGTTCCATAACAAATAATAGCATTTGGTTTTCTTGAGGAGCTATTAGTCATTTGCAGAAAAAATGTGAGTGATGAAGACTTGCAGTGCTACTCAGCCACCCTTACTTCCTGCTATTTCTACTTCAGTCATTAAAGAAAAGGCCAAAACTCTTTATCGATATTCCTTAGAGGGTCAGCAGATTGATTAACTTGTAGATAAATGAGATTTTGTTTCTTTACAGCTCTTAATACCAAAATTGTATTTTTATAGATTTTTCAATTCAGGAGTTTTTTAAACTTTTATTACAAAAAATTTTCAGATGTATTTAAGTAAATTAATATCATGAAGTCCATTACCACGATTCAAATTTTATTAAGACACAAATCTTAATTCATCTCTACCGTTTGTATCTTTGGTTTTGCGTTGGATATTTTAAAGTAAACTCCAGACATCATGTCATCTCATCCATATATTTCATTAAGATGCAGGCATTTTATGCACGTGCACAGCACGAAAATGAGACCAAAGAATATGGCTGCTGTAATAAATACTGAAAGCAGAGAAACACAGAGCAGCCACGGTCTAGCTAAGTTTAAGTAAAATATGTGTTTCTCTACAAGGGAAAAAATTGAAAAGGGGCTCCTCAAACCTTGAGTCTTAACTTCTTGCTTTCTTGAGTCATTATACAAAACATAATGTTATGTCTTGTGTTCAGATGTCCCCCAAAAGCTTCAGGTGGTCATAGGTGTGGCTTTGTCAGAGGTGGCTGGATCTAGAGTGTGTGATGCTGGAATTGATTCATGGTGCAGTACTAGGCTCAAGGACACTAGGATTAGGGGTGTGAGTGCTACCTGCTCTAAGTAGCCTGGATAAAATAAAAAAGTCTGGTTAGGCTCCTTGTTTTTGCTGTCTTTGTCCTCTATGAACTGTTCTCCTCTGTGATGCCCCTCTGCCATATGCCACTCTGCCTTAGAGCCAGCAGATTATGAACTGAAACTTCTACAAACTGTGAGATAAATAAACCTTTCCTCCCCTAACTTTGAGTATTGGGTATTTTGTCTCAGTAATGAGAAGAGTAACTAAGAAAGCAGTTGGGATCAGAGAAGTAGTCATTGCTATGACTGTAACTGACCATGAGATTTAGGAGCCTTGGGAGCTGGCCTATAGGAAGGGTTTGGAAAGGTTTGGAAATGCTGGCTGAAAAAGCACAGCTGGAATGCTTTAGGAAGCACTTGATGGGTGATTCTGGTCAGAACCTAGAAGATCAGAATGTTTGTAGAAATTCTGATGGTAAAGACCAGGCTCTGGAGGTTTCCACTGGGAAAAAGGACCTCATTGGCTGCTGGACTCCAGGCAATGTGTTATACCTTGGCACAGTTTGCCTGCATTTGGCTCATGTCTGGAGCCTTTGCCTGAGACTAAGATTAAGGGCAGGAGACTAATCTTGCAGAAGAAATTTCAAGGCAGTCTAATGTTGAGGCATAGCTACTGTTGGGAACTGTTAGCCAGATTTATGGTGGGAATCAAGAGTAAAGAGCCAAGCAGGATGATTTAAGACATTTTAAGTTTGGCCAGAAAGGAAGCTCCAGTAAAGTGGACTGCAAAGATAAAGCAGAGGAAATCTTGATTGCTGAGAAGGAAGAGAATAGAAAAGACGGCCTGAGGGCATCACAAGAAAGCAGCAGGACTCTCTCCCTTGCAACTGAAAAATTGCAAAGGTGAAAGACTTTGCTTCCAGAAGACAGCTTCAGAACACCACATTCCAGAACGGCGGCACCCTAGAGAAATTTTTCCTTTGGATTAGATTCAGAATGCTCAGAGATCCAGGTACTGGGCCCCTATTGCCAAGAGAGAAGGAAGCCTGGTTACTGCTCTAGCTGGCAGTAGACTCTGGCATCAAATTGTGAGCTAAATAAATCTTTCCTCCTTGTCTTAGTTACTTTTTTCTCATTTCTGAGACATAATACACAACACCCAAAGTTAAAGGGGGAAAGGGTTTATTTAGCTCACAGCTTGTAGAGATTTCAGTCCATAACTGGCTGACTCCAAGGCACAGTGGCACATGGCAGAGGGGTGTCACAGAGGAGAAGCAGTTCTTGGTACTCAACATGGTAGCAAAAGCAACAAGGGACCTTATTAGAGTCTTTCTGCCCCTTTTATCTTACCCATAACTACTTAGGGCAGGTAGTATTCGCATCCTTAGTCCTAGTGCCCTTGAGCCTAGCACTGTACCATAAACCAATCACACACTCTAAATTCAGCCACCTCTGAAAAAGCCCCATCTATGACTGCATGAGGCTTTTGGGGGACATCTAGACACAAGCTGTAAAACTCCTTCAACTTTGAGTGTCAGGTGTTTTGTCTCAGCAATGAGAAAAGCAACAAAGACACATAACTCCACATGTACTCCATAGAACACAATTTCCACATTGGAAATGAGCATAAAATATAGACAAATCCACTTATAGTTTGTGATCTCAACACTCATCTCTCAATAACTGATAGAATAAGTAGGTTAAGAATTGTTAAGGATCAACTTGACCTAATATTTTTACTCCACCCCAAAACAAGCTAAAATTTTTAAGGCACAAAAACAGTGCTTCTTGATAAAACATACTGTGGTCCGTAAAACAATATTCCATCAAATTGAACCTACAGTCATCACACAAATCATGTTTTCAGAACACAAAAACATCAACCAGAAATCATATCTAGAAAATCCCCATCTACTTGGAAATTCAATAGTATGTTTCTGAATAACTTATCAAAAAAGAAATCCAGAGAAATCATAAAAGTCCATGTATCAGAAAAGAAATTAAAGAAATAAAAACAAAAATTAGAAAGTATTATGAACAATATAGCAAGGAAAACACAACATACCAAAATTTTCACTGGAAGCTGTTAGACCAGTGTATAGTGGAAAAAAAGAAAGGGCTCAAATTAAAGATTAATGTATTCACCTTAAAATGTTAGAGATAGGAGAGTAATCAGAGAAACAGAGCAATCAGAAGGAAGAAAAGACAAAGACAAGAGCAAGAATCAGTAAGACAGAAAACAGAGAAAAAGGAAACCAAAATCTATTTCACTGAAAAGATGTTGATACAAGGATAAACTAATAAAGGAAACAAAGGTAAGACCTATTGCCAACACAAGAAATGAGACAGAAGACATCACTACAGATCATATACACATAATGGATTACTAGGAGCAACTTAATCACAACTAATCTAACAACCTAGATAAACTGACGAATTTCATGAAATAGGCAACAATTAAAACTCAACAAGTAATAGGCACATTAAATAGACCTACATATACTAAAGAAACTGATTTTGTAGTTTAAAATCTCACAAAGAAACTCAACACCCATTTGGCTTCATTCATTGATTCTGAGACAGGCGAGGAAATAAACTAATTCTCCAGAAACATTCCCCAAAAATAGATTAGGGAACATAACAAAACTCATTTTATAAGGCCAATGTTACTCTGATACCCAAACAAGAAAACATAATTAAGAAAACAACAAAGGATATGAGGCCCTAGGTTTGATCCCCATCACTTTGAGGAAAAAAAAAGGAAGGAGGGAAGGAAGGGTAACAGTAGGAAGAGAGGGAGGAGGGAAGAAATGCTGAAAGGCAAAAATATAAAAGAATACCCAGTGAACATAAAGACAAGCATTATTATAAAATTTTAGCAAATCTATCTGTCTATCTATCTATCTCTATCTATCTATCTATCTATAAGGGACCATATATCATGGCAGTAAGGTTTATCTCAGAAATTTAAGGTTGTTTAAACATTAAACAATCACATTTAACTCACCATATTAACAGGTTAAAACAATTATGTAATCATCTCCATAGATTTAGAAAAAAATATGCCATTTACATTCAAAGTAGAAACTCTCAGCAGTTTAAGAATAGAATGCACCTTCCTCAACCTAATAAAGGGCATCTACCGAACAAACACCTACAGCTAATGTGGTGAAAGCTGAATGTTTTCTCTGAAAGCATGGTCAAAACTGGGATATTCATTCTCTTCTTTACAACACTGTGCTAGAGGTCCTAGCTTTTGCAATAAGGTGAGTAAGGGGACAGAAAGGGAAAAGAGGGGAGAGAAGAAAAAGGAAGGGAAGGGAAGGAAAGGTGCATACATATAGAAATAGGAAAAAACCTGCCTTTAACTGCAGATTACGTGAACCTGTATACTTATTTATATTAAATTTATGGAGAAAATGCTAAGAATTTACTTTTTAAAACCTACAGAAACTGAATAACTTAGCAAGGTTAAAAAGTGTGTAAAAATACAAGCCGCCTTTCCAAATCATCAGATAATAATTAGGTACTAAATTTAAGAGGGGAAGGCTATTTGGTGAGGAACAGGATATTTGCACGATCACAGAATAACTCTGCACAAAGTGTTTATGAGCTACATCTCACAGGAAAAGAATAATAATTATACATAAAATGGCAAAAACCTTGACCTGGAGATCCAAATTACCTTAGAGGTAAAAGGCATCAGTCCTCCCGGAAGTGATATCCTAGAAGGGTACAATGTCAGTTAGGGAATCATCTGCTTGGGGCTGCATAGTCTGAATCTTTTCATGAGGAAATAACAGAAAAATTCTAGTTGGAGAATACTCTACAAAATAACTGATTCATATTCATCAAATATTACTATGCTGTGAAAGAAAAAAGAGGCATACGAATGTTTCCAGTGAGACTGAAGGAACATGACATCAAAATGCATGTTCCTGGAACAGGTCCAGTATTGGATGGCGGGGGGGCTGTAAAGAACATTACTAAAATAATTTGTAAAATTGAACAATGTACTGTAGGTCAAATAAATATTATATAGATATTAAGTATCTCTGCTGTGGTAAGAGAATATTCTTGTTCATAGGTGACCCAGAGAAATACAAAGGATTAAATGGATGGAAGATACATAAATTACTTTCAAATGGTTCAGAAATAAAATTATATGTGTATACACGTGTATACACTCATATAGAGATAAAATATGACAAAATATAAGTTAATATGCTTAAAGGGTATTCAGGAATTCTATTACATTTATGCAACTATTGTGTAGACTTGAAATGATTCTGAAAGATGGTGAAATCTTCCAGTGGCTCGTAAAACTCTAGAATGGTCTTCCAGTTTCTTTGTTGTTATCAGTTAGTGCAGTAGTGCTAAAAATTGACTGACCCTTGTTCATGATTACCTCCCAATTAATAACATGTTTTCTATATTAAATATCAACAGCATGTCCGATAAAGGATGAACAAGCCATATGGAAGGTATAGAAACAGCATGGGACTTGCGTTTTATTTTTATCACCATTTGGGTAATTTTCTTCATATCTGTTAAGTCCTAGTATCTTTATTTTGAGAATGGGAATAAAGAATAAAAACATACAAATCTCACAAGGCTTCTATGAGAACCATATGAGAGACAGCACTAGTGCATACCTTTAAGAACTAAGTAAAGTGATGCAACCTTCAAACCAAGTCAAGCCTGTGTTGCAAGGCCATCAAAGCTTCTAGTCTCTCTCAGAATGAAGGCAAAACCCTCACTGTGGCCCCTGGTGCCTCACCTGACCTGGCCTTCAACTCTCCCATCTCCTCTCCAGCTGCTCCCTTTGTTCTTCAAGTACGCCCAGCCTCAGGGTCCTTGTAGTTTCTTCGTGTCTGTCATGTGATCACTGACTGAACATGTGATCACTGTCATGTGAACACTGTGATCATTCTCACCTCCATTGCAGTTTTCTACTCAAATGTCATCTCACTGCTGGCTTTTCCCAAGGAATTACCTAAGTAATAAGTGTATATCCTTCACTACAAGTCACTCTCTGCTTTTTATCTGGTTTCATTTTTTTCAAGATTTATCCAACCAATTTACTATACATTCATTTATTTATTGTCACTTTCCCCCCTTTAAAATATAGTTATAATTGTGAGAACTTCTGTTTGTCCAGAACTGTATCTTTAACACACGTAGGTGTTAGCACATAAGTGACCTTCAATAAATATTTGTTAATGAGTGAGTAAAGAACAGAAACTTAAACATGCACAATATCTGGTTTATGCAAAAGCACTGCTCCATGGATACTGCCATCAATCTATTAAACCTTTCAAAAGCCATTTTATATCACTATTAAATATCCCTTCTGCTTCTAAAAACATGCTGAATTAAGATGTATTTTACTTTTAGGATTTCACTGTGGCCTTTGAGATTACTGTAGATCGTTGACTTATGACAAGATCAGGCATACGGTCACTGAGTCACATTTTTGAAGAAGGATAGCAAGGAAAAAATATCCCACACAGGCAAATTTAGATATTTGATCATTTCTTCCCTAGTGGTGCTACCTAATCCTCATCATAGGTCAACTCCCCAGTAGAGCTGGGTTATTTTTTCTTACCCAAATTATAGATATGTGGAAGCTTCTCCTTTACTTCTAAATATAAAATAAAAGCCTCACATTTCAAACTCATCTTTTTGCAGGAAAGCAGAGCACATCTTGAAAATTAAGTAATTGTGTCTGATAGGCAGTGACACAAGCAGCCAGCCTCTGTCAACACTAAGGCTGATAAATGGCAATCAAGATCCCACTGCCTCCTGGGACCCGGGCCACTGGGACCTTCCTCGTAACATCTTGAGATGCCTCATCTCGGTCTTCATGATCAAAGATGGGAATTTCTTGTTTTTGTTAAAATAGAGCCAAATGGAATCCAGCCAGAGTTGCAAGATGTCACATTTGACCTACAAATACAGCCTTTTTACTTTATCTTGGAGCAGTTGTGAAATCAGGACACCCTCATCTGTGTCTTATGGCAGATAACGACCCACAAAGCACTCAAAAAATGCTCACTAGGTTTTTTCTTTGACTTTTACCATGGAGGTCTCACCAAGATACCCTCACAGATTAATCCGCCACCAGGGCCAACCAAGCTGCCCTCTTTGAGAAGAGCACCTTATATACTCCTTTCTTGGTTTCACCATATCTGTTTCTAAAGCATTTCTGGTTTGCTGCTCCCTGGGTATCTGGCTTTGTGTCTCAAGCCTATTTGAATTACTTTGGTCAAGTTCTATCCAGTAAATTAAAAGTACTGAGAAATTGTTATTTATCTTTATTAACTTCTGTCTAAAATGTGGGGAATATTTTGAATGACCAAGGATATAAACTTCTTTACAAGTAAGTCAGAGAGGCTATAATTCTCCAAGATTTGAGGTTTCTAAGCTGAACTGTTAAGAAGAAACATTCTATACTACTGATACCGTCTTTGCTTCCCTGTATAAAAATTCTAGCTTGCTTTGCCATGTCTGTCTTTCTGACGAGATTATTAACATGTGCGCTTGTCCATCTTATAGAATCCTGTACTACAAGTGATCTATTCAGCTAAAAACTCAAGGGTAGCCTTTTACAAACTGTTTCATTTGCGTTTTGTTTTAGTTCCTTCTTTGTATAGATCCTTTCTCTTTGGTAATCTGCCTTAAAAATTCCAGATGCAATTTTACTCTTCCTGAATCACAGTTTCTGTATCTTCAATTCAGTAAAAATACCCCAGAGCCAGTTTTATGTCATTTCACCAAATGACGATAACTTCCATCAGGAAACATTTCTGAATGCCACCCAATGAGCAACAGAAGGGAGATAGCCATTAAGGAGATTTGTTTTTTGAAAAGACAGAGGATCAGAGTAGGCACAAAACTTACCAGCATGAGACTCAAACTTCAGTATAGCACTGCTGTCACCCAGAGTGATCAAGATGGAGTTCTTCCCCATACGGCAACATTCAGTGTCTCTGTTGAGTAAGCATTTGAAGATGCACACACCATCAGCTATAAAGGGTGAAAAAAATAGGATTAGGCAAATTCAACTTCAACATTGTAAAAAACATTCACCAACGCCAACTCTCTCATGTTCTCAAATGTCCTTGTTTCTAAATTCTTAACATTTCCTGGAACATAGGTGAATATGTAAATCAGAGATGAATCTATGGCCAAAGGCCAATTCTCTACATGTGGGTAATGCAGAGCTCAAAACTGACTCCTAACACCTCTTTCCTCTATATCCAGATCTCCATTTCCCGCAATGTTTATGTTGCCTGAGTCAGCTTTGGTTTTGGTTTTTGCTTTTGTTTTGATCTTTTGACACCACCCAGGAAAGCTGAGGAAATGTCTCTCTGGGTAATTTCTAAGTGCACGACTATGTTCAAACATTATCACAACAAATCTCCATTGTAAGTATTATCACTGACAATGTTTGTAGGTAAAGACAAGCCAAAGAGTTGAGGTCTACTATGAACAGGTAATAAGTAGCAGAATCAGAATTTGAGCCTAGATACAGTGTTTGACTCTAAAAGCCACAACACAATGTCTCTGCTATGATAATGATGAGTTAAGTGTGATGAAGAGAGAGCTTACGAAATTGGAAACTAACTCTCTAATCTTGGTTTTTAAAGGCAGACAGGCTTTTAGCATTGAGACAACTGTAGTACCAGGATTAGAGCAATGAACTTGAGAGTTTTACTTTAGAAATACTGAGAAATTCCAATTACCCAATCATTCTGAGATTTTTTTCCATATTATAAAATGAAAATATTGATGCTTATATCATGCACTTTTGAAGACTATTATTCTTATTGTTTACGAAAATTTATTTAATTTTTTCATAAAATAAAAAAAGAGAAAGTGTAAACAAGAATATTAAATAAGCATTAAATTAAATAAGTATTAAATTAAATAAGATTAAGTATTAAATAAGAGTATTATTTCCCTCATTTAAAAATAGATCTTAGTTCTTAATCTTTATTACTACTTGTAATTCAGAAAGCTCTCCTACAAAACCAAAGTGTTATCAACTTAAAACAATTGTATGTAATTCTTTTATAAACATACACAAATTCATGTACATACATTCAACACATGTCCACACACATACATCCACAGAGTTAAAAATGGCCAAATGTTTTCAAATATTTCCACCCATTGCTTCAAATGAATGCATAACTCCTGATGGAAGTATTTACAAATGTTTTTCACAAAATGTCTTGGCCTGTTAAATAGTACAGATGTTTGGAAAACATTTTCTTGGCATCAAACACGAGTGCAGGTTTGGTTAGTACCACCCAGCCTCTATCTCAAAGGCAGCACTGATAACTTGCAGAGAGGCAGTCATGAATGTGAGTACAGAGGGAGTCTGAGTATATCCTCTGGAGTTCGTCAGAAAGATTTTTAACAAACTAGAATCTTTAGGGTTTTATCAATTGTTCATCTTACAGTTTAAAAGTGTGGTAAGACAGAATAAAGACAGAAGGCTCCAGGCTTCTACAGACACTATGAGCTCTTTGCCAGAAGGGGAAATTTGACCTTATTTTTTAAATCAATATATTTTTTTTTTTACTCTGAATCAAATCTAGCACAGTACCTGGTAGTTAATAAATTATCTGTTGAATCAGCAAAAGTATTTTGCCACATATTGACTGAATGCCAGCTCAGAATAAATAAAAGGCAAAATCTACTAGGGTCAATTCTCCTTAATCACATAGCTTCAGTTTCGCATTTTACTGGGATTTGATTAGGTAATAAATTGCTGGGATTATTCTAACTTGATCAACTGCAAAATGCCTGCCCATATGTCCCATTTTTCTTTGCTCTCTCCCTTGTCCTCTGTTTAAATATTGGAGGAGAAAGTCTCTTTTTCTTTTTAACCCTTTCAACTGTTTTTTAATTTTAAAAAATGTCTGTACAGTAGTTAAGAAATGCAGAATGATTTTTTGATATACCTACAGAGAATTGTTACAGTCAAAATATCAGCAAACAGTCCGTCATCTCACATACTTACCTTTCTTTTGTGTGTATGAATGTGCTAAGACCTAAACTATACTCTTAGCAAATTTCCAGTATGAGAACTACTACTAAGAATGCAAGAATTATTAATCTTAATACAATACTGTTAACTGTAGTCCTCGTACTATATCTTAGATCTTTGTACTTACTCATTTGAAGACATCATCTTTGTACCCCTTGACCTATGTGGTGATTTCCCTCATCCCCACTCCCCTGATAATCCCATTTCTACCCACTGTTTCTATGCACTCGTTTTTTCTTATAGATTCCACATGTAAGTGATGTCATGCAGTATTTTTTCATTCTCTATTTCACTGATTTTACTTAACACAGCGTTAGTTTCATCCACATTTCTGCCAAGAGCAAGAGGTCTTCTTTTTAAAGGCAGGATAACGTTCCATCATAAATGTGTCAGAATTCCTTTATCCCTTCATCAGTTGAGGTGGAAAGGATCATTTTAAGCATACCATAAAATTCAGAAAGTACTGGTAACTACTCAGAAATTCTGAATTTACTCACAAAATACTAAAAATCTTAATAGTAAAAAACAGTGAAAAGTCGCACAAGTATTTGTAACATATATAACAAGTACACAACGTTTCCAATACATGATTGGTACTAAAAAAGAAGAAAAAATAAGCATCTCTACTAAAGAACTAGTAAGATGAAGGAATAGGTGACCAGCGCTGGAGAAATATCAATGGCAAAAATGTCAATGAAAAAAACAATGAATCTCAGCATGTATAATCCAGCCGAGACCTAACTTTTTTTTAATCTCTCTGCAAATATTTTAAAATATATGTTGACAATACTGACTGTTGCGGAGATTATGAGAAAAGAGTGAATGAGGGATATGATCGATATTAAGAATAGAAATTTCTAATATATTATGTCTTGTTGGGTCAAATTTAAAATTTTGTTTTCTTCTTTGCTAGATATTCTTTTGGGAATCATTTCTTTTAGGGTGCACTTTACCAAGTGTGGATGAATGTTTGTTCAGGGGTATTCATCTCAAAAGTCTTCTACTACAGTTAGAAAACACAAGGAAGCTGAGTTCACTGCTTACATGGTTCACACACACAGTACCTCCATGTTCAGGTGTCAGATAACACCTGTGATATTACAGTAACACTATTATGTTTATCTTGATAAAAACCTGTTTATAGGTAGTTGCCAAAAAGTTGTCTGCAGTGGCTTCCTCTAGATGAGAGATTTTGGATTATTTTAATTTTCCCATTGGTGGTATTCTGCCATGTTTGAATTTTCTATGTGACTACTCATTTTTATAATCAGAAAAAAAAAACAAACAAGAAAGATTTTTCACTTGTTACAAAGTAATTTTAAAGAATCACACTACCATCACTAATGTACTTCACCACATTCTCATTCTTGGTGGGTATTATCATTATTATTGTCATTCTATCTATTAAATATTTATAGGTATTTTGTTCAAAAATATTTACTGAGGAATTACTTAAAATAACAAACGCAACTGTACTTAATACAATTATATTAAAGGCGTCTAATTGTTATTCTAAGTACCACATTTTAATTCACTCATGGAATGTGTTTGCTAATTATATAACTTCTGTATTGATTTTCTTTTCTGTCCTTTGACTGTGGTAATACATAAAATAAACTGATTTCTGATACCTAACGGGATGAAGATTAAAGTAGAGCTATTATACAGGCAGGTGTATCATTAATGAAGAATCATACCTCTTTAAAGAAGTCACATGAGAAAAAAAGAAAGAATACATTGGGAAAGTACTGCAAAGTGCTTGTTAACCCAAGGCCAGGAAACACCGCAGCCCTGTGAGAGACTGGAGGAATGCCTCCCGCGTACCTTGTACTACAGTCCCGAGCACCTCCTAGGCTGCTCTCATGACTGCACGCGCAGCACACCCTGACCTCTCTTGTGAAGATGTCATTTGCTCTTTTCAGTGATAATACGTATTAAGGCTGATTCCATGCGTTTGCTGTACTCTGCTTCCAAACTTCTTTTTCATCAACACTCTGCTATTTTTTTCCAAGACCAAGGCCTGAGCTGCTGATAGCAGCAAAGCAGCAAGAATAAGTTCAGAGGCACAGAATTCTTTAGAAAGGCCCACGGCCTTGTTGTTCCAGCCTTGATGTGAGCCACTCATTTTCCAGAAGTCGCTCAAAGTGGCCGTGAGTCACCTCACTCTCTCTCCCCTCTCTGTTTCATTGTCAGAACTTCCAAAAGCACACCAACTAACCCTTGACGCCCCCTTTCCTTGCTCTCTTTCATTGGCAGCTGAATCACTTCCCAACTCCAAACCTCTTCCAAATCTCTTTTTTCTTTTCCTGTTTGACTACTGTTTCCCTTTTTTTCTTCTGCAATTAATGGTTGGCCCCTTTCAAATAGAATTAGTCCATTACACGTTTATTCAGTATCATCAATCCAGCAAGAAAAGGTTTAGAACTGAACATACTGAGTTCTTAACCTTCTAAAATTTTAAGATAAATAAACATGCTCTCTATGTAAGGTACCCTGACTCAGGTATTTCATTACAGTAACAGAAAACACACTAGCACAGTCCCAAGAGTCCCAGCCTCTGGTGTACACACATTTTCTAGTTAATCAATATGACACAAATGTAGCTACCATTGTAAAAGGACTTTGCAGAAGTAATAAAGCTCCCAAATAATTTGACTTTTAATGCAGATATTACTCAGATTGATAAAGTCTAATCACATGTACCCTTTAAATCTGAGTCTACAGATCAGACACAAGATGTCAGAAATTCAAAGAAGAACTGAACATGCCATTGCTGTCTAGAATGTGGAGGGGGCAAGGAATGTGGGTACCAAGGATGTGTGTAGCCTCTAGAAGCTATGAGCAAACCCAGCTGAGTCCTGGGAAAGGAAATGGAACTTCCCTCTCCTAGCTAGAAGGAACAGAATTCT